GGTCAGTAGAGGCCCCGCCCCAGGGCGGGGCGCAGAGGGCGGTTGCCCGCGGCCATGGAGGACGCGCTGCCCGCGGGGCTGCTGGAGCTGTGCGCGCTGGTCGGCGTCCCCCGCGAGCAGGCTCGGGAGGCCAGCCAGGTAGGCCGGGCCCCCACAGCTGCTTCCCGCCCCCCGCGGCGCCGTGACATTTAGGAGCTTGCTGACATGTTTTCGGTGCAGTTGGAGCGGGGAGCGGACAGGCAGATCGGGCAGGGCAGGGCATGGCAGCGGCACTTGGGTCTGGCCCTAAAGGTTGCCCTGGAGGAGGAGGAGGAATGGGCTCAGTCTGGGTTGCAGAAATCGGCTTTTGTGTTGACGACCAAAAAGCCCTTCAAACTTCGTTGTTGAAGTCACTGAATCACCTGAATTGGGGTCAAATCCTAGAAGTTGGCACGATCGCTTCTGACTCCCAACGTAGTCGATGTGATTCACTAATTGCCGGCTGTTTTGACCTGAATTACGAGGAAGCTGCTGTCTCATCATTGCTACTGTTAAATGGGGTTTGGGGGTTTTTTGTTTCTTTCCCTCCTCAAACAAAAGCATCCTACTGTGGGGGGGAGATACTGGTGATGCCAAGTCTCTGTTCCCGCAGATCTTGTGGCCCTGTTTCAACTTGAAACCGCATCGGATAAAGGGTCTTTGTTGCTACCCCCTTGCTGACGATGAGACGGCTTTTGCTGCTTTCAGCTTATTATTTAGCTAATAATAATGAAGGATTCACGTTTTGGAGCCTTTCGTGATGGGGGTGGGGGGAATTCTCTCTCTTGAATATCGCAACAAAACTGTTTTGAAATACAGACTGCGGACATACTGTGTAATTAAGATATATGCTTGCAAGGAGTAACCCTCCGGTTCTCAGTCCATCGTAAACTCTGTACAAACGCTACCCTTTTTTCAAAAAAAAAAAATAAAATGAGAAAATCGAATAACCAAATCGTACACGAGCGGAGGTTCAGTCCAACTGCAGCGTGTGTGTGAAGTCCTGTCCCTGCGCGGGATGTCAAGTGGAGGGTGAGAGGAACCCGTTTTAAGACGGCTCCATGAGCATGGCTGTCACCGAGGTACCGTCTCTTGCAGCTGCTACCTCGGTAGGGCTGTGCTCTTAGTCACTTACCTACCACTTATCTAACTTGCTCTGAAAATCCTATCACATCCTTTTCCTGGTGTGACGCTACCAGTGCATGAAGGAAATGGTGCGCTCAGTGTTATTTTTAACTTCAGCGATCACAGGAGAGAAGAGTTTTTGTTAAATGAAGTGAATACTAAATTTTAATTACAGTTGAAGTAAAATGATGATATTTGCCTATATGTTGGGGTTATATTTAAAAAAAAAAAAGGATGATAGCCCTGACCTCGAGTACACTCATACACAATCTTATCCTTACTGCAGTGAAGTCAGTAGCATTACTCAGAAAAGTTTCAGCAGGTATGTAATTGTTTGCTGAGTCTGCAGCTGAATTCCCCCAGATTTCTACATCACTTGGTTGCTTTTGAAAATCTTGCCCAATAGGTTTTCATTTTGTTTCTTGCAGAGGTTCCCAAGCTTTTTCTTATTGCGTACCCCCTTCCAGATTTACCATCTGTCCGCATATTTATCTGCCCACATTTATCTGTCCGGTTATATTTTAACCCCTTAAATGCCAATTATTATTATAATGAAAATGAAATCCACCATTACGCAATTTCTCCTGTGTACCCCAGGTGTGCACATACCACAGTTTGGGGACTCTTGGTTTAGTGGATACATGATAAAAAACAATACATAAATATATTTAAAAAAAAAAAAAAAGAGTCCCAGCCAAATTCAAATATGCAGAAAACATATAATATAAACTCAGCCAAAGGGCATAGAAAATTGTCATGAAGTTTGAATCATAATTGAGCATTAGTTCCAAGATTGGCGAGACAAATCTGGGAGTCTGGTGCCTTCCTTTCCTCCCACCTCTTCTCATTTTGGAAATGGGAAGTAGAGGAATTCTAGTTGAATTCCAGGCTGAATCTATACGTTTTGAAATACATTTCTAGAGATCATACTTCTACTTTATTTACACATATTATACTTGGATTTATTATAGATTTCTTAGACATTAGAGGCTGGAAAGGACCTCATGAAATCGAGTCCAGTCTCCCTGCCATAGCTAGGAAGTCTGATGGGTTCAAATGGGTTATTTTTTCCTCATATTTTAGCGCCTATTCAGAAATAAAATTCTTATTTGGGGAGTGGGCGGCTGGTATGACTGTACCCCTTCTGACAATAGGACTTAGGAGAGTTTATAGGAACTTATAGAGAACAGGAGTTGTTCAGGAGGTTTCTAAACTTTCTTATGTTGTCCTCAAAAACTGATTTTGTTTGTCTTGATAAAATTGGTTTATGTGGAAAATGCATTGCTATTTTAATTTACTACTCGGCTTTGTAAAGTTTTATTTATTGTTTGTTATGGTCCTGAAAGTGATTGTGTTATAAACTGGGGAAAAAAATATTTCCTACCAGGAAAACCTTCCAGTTTTAGTGTGGATTTGGGATGTAAGACCTGCTAGGAAAACCATAGTTAAGGATAAATGAAACAACAAAACAGCCCTAATTTATTTAATCCATTCAGTGAAAGTCTTCAAAAAATGTAACTATCCCCTTGAGTTTTCATGCAGTTGATGAAAGCATTGCAATACTTTGCACTTATAACTGGTGTACATCACATTACTCAGACAATACAAGATTTTCAGAGAACTGTAGAAGAGGAGGACTGTGATCTACAGAAGACTCGGATCACAAAGGCAAGATAGAAGAAGAGTTGAGTTGGTGGAGGTATAGATTTTGAGGAGCAGGTTTGCTGTACAGGAGAATGAGTAAGAGAACATCCCCTTGGTTGGTGGGGGTGGGGGCAATGAAGAGTAGAGCAGTCATTTCCAGTAAATGAAATGGAGATGCCAAGGACTGAATCTCCTAGGTCATCCTGTAGGATTCTGTCGGTATAGAGGGAGCTAGGACCTGCTTTCTGTAATAGGTTCGTGCATGAAGCTGCAGTTGGTTGCATGTATCAAGTAAATCTTTCAGGATGTTGTTATTTGATTTTTGTGGCAGTATACATGTAATGAATACATCATAGAGAAGTAGGGGTGAAGGGGATTTCCAGAGGCCATCTAGTCCAACACCCTGCCTGAGGTAGGATCATCCAAACCATCCCATACAATCCATAATCTCTACTTCTTAGTGAAACTGTCAACCCAGACGCAACATGAGGCATAACACCCTAACTTGCCATAGGTAAAGTAGGGGGACCACGGCAGCCAGCATCCTGCTTCTGTAAAAGGTTGTTAATGTACACTTAAGAGATCCCAAGTAGAGGGTCGGGCCCCCTGCGCTACAGAGGAAGACCTAAACCCCCACAGTCCATACCCATCTGACTGGTGTAAAATTTCTTCCTGATGCCAAATATGGCAATGGGTCTGACCCTAAGTGGAGGAGGAAGACCTTCTAGCCAGGAGCCTTTGGTTTTAAGTGCCAGCAGGAGCATTGGCACACCCCAGTCAAAATCCCCAGCCTTGGCTGTAGCTAACACTCAATACCGCTGAGAGGCTTAAAAAAAATCCTGAAAAACCCCATACCTGATACATGTAGCGGAAAACTGGGGTGTAGAGGGGGGGATGTCCTCCCATTCCCATGCAGTAATTAACAGAGCCCAGAAGCATGGGAAATACCATAGTACAAGATAGGCATAGCTATGCTGAGATCATCCCTGACCTGTGACTGTCTAGCCTTTTCCTGAACACCTTCAGGGATGGAGTGTCCACAACTGCCATAGGCAATCTACTCCACAGCCTCACTCTTCTAACAGTGAAGAAAGAAGGTTTTCCTGATATCCAATCTAAACCTACTGTGCAACTTAAAGCCATTGGTCTGTATCCTAGTCTCTGCTACAAGAGAGAAGTGGTGTTGTTTATGGCAGCCCATCAAGTATTACAAGACTGCTATCATGTCTCCTCTTAAGCCCCTTTTCCCCCAACTGAACATGTCTAGCTCCTTCAGCCTCTTTTTGTATGACTTGCTTTCCAAGCCCTTTATCATCTTTGTTGCCTGCCTCTGGACCCTCTCTAACTTCTCCAAGTTCCATGTTCTTTTTAAAAGGGGGAGCCCAGAACTGCATAATATTCCAGTTGATGCTTACTAACCAGTATCAAGTAGAGAGACACTATCATCTCTTATGTCTTGCGCCTACTGCTTCTGTTGATGCAGCCCAAAACCACATTTGCCTTTTGTGCAGCAGCATCACACTGGAGACTCGTATTGAGCCTGTGTTCTACCAAGACTCCCAACTACCTCTTCATGGGGCTGCCATCCAGCCAACTATCGCCCATCTTGTATTTGTATTTTTGATTATTCCTCCCGAGGTGTAGCCTTTGCATTTGTTGTGCATTTGTCCGCCTTGAACTTGTTAGCTCCAGCCCAGCTTTCCAGTCTGTTGAGATCCTTCTGAATTGTGTTCCTATCCTCTAGCATGTTCACAATCCTTCCTAGTTTCATGTTGTCTGCAGGCTTGCTTGAGATGCTTTCTATACCAGCATCCAAGACCTTAATAAACATGTTGAACAGCACTGGGCCAAGGACAGGGACTGCACTTGAAAACTCCTGCCATTGTGATGTGGATCCATTAGTGATTACCTTTTGCTTGTGGCTTCTACTGGTTTATCTATCAACATTTCTCTAATTTGTTTATGAGAAGGTCATGTGGGACCTTGTCAAAAGCCTTGTTGAAGTCCAGATATACTAACTATATCCATAGCATTGATCTTAATCCACCTATTCAAATAGAATAACAACAGTAATTCAGGGGATTGGGTTTACATTATCAAGGACTGGATTTTTCTTGTTGTACACTCAGGGTGTCAAACTCACCTTGCGTACTGGGCTGGAGCCAAACCGTGGGGCTCCTCACAGGCCATATTCAGCCCAGGGCAAGCAGCACTGATGGCAGTGGCGGCTCTACCTCCAACTTGGGGCATGCAGGTGTGGCAGCTCTGGCACAGGCATGCAGTGCAGCTTCTGGCTCCTGCCACATGCCCCATGGCAGAGCCGGAGCTGCTACTGCATGACATGTGCTGAT